TTAATTTTTGGTTTTGTCTAGAGAATAACATATCAAAAGCTCATCGAAATCGGAGGCGGACACTTGGGTCCCTTTCATTGTTAGTATGTATGTACATACATATCCCAATAAGTAGAAGTCCCCTATATTACATGTAAAATAAAAAAAATACGGAGGACTTCGTAATTGAGACTCCGGCCAACAATAATTATATTTTTATATGTATGTATGTATTTATATTTTATATGTATTATTTAATGCATGCAATTAATTGTAATTACATTACTCACTCTCAGCGCTATCCAAGATCAACCAACATGGAGGTAATGAGTGTATGATCTCTTACGTATGAATTATGCATAACAGAAATAAGTATCGTAAAAATAAAATAATAAAAAATAAATTTAAAATATATATAAAAAAATAAATAAAATATAAATAAATTTATATAAATTATAAAATATTTCTTGCAATTTTAGTACGACGTCAAACATCTCTGTTGCCGATGAGGCTGAAGACACTTCAGTCGATGCTGATTATTGTGACAGCATGGATGTCAATAGTACTGCGTCACGTTCATCAGGTAACATTTTATAAATATAAATAAAAGAATAAATAAATTTTATTTTTTAACTAAATATCTTTATTTTTTGAGTTGCTGCTTCAAATCGAAGAAAGAGTAGCGAAAGTTCTACAGACTGCATGCGGGAGCTGGTACAAGCGTTAAAGCAGCCCATAACTATCGACATCCCGCAGCAGAATGCCCAGAATCCGTTTGCTGCTTTCGGCACTTTAATTGCGCATAAGCTCGAAGCTCTGAGTGAAACTGCACGAAACAGGATGATGATACGTATACTTCAACTATTCCTAGAAGAACGTCTCAGTGACCAAGTCTAGATGATATATAAGTACGTTAAGTTAGCTTAGATATAACTTTAAGATGTAATTTTTCTACTTTCACTTTTTCTACTTTTCTATCTTTCAATTTGAAGAATTCACAGTTTAAAAAAGCACTCATGGTAGACAATACTACTAATTGAGTTTTTTTTGTAGGTTGCTACACCATTTTCTGAGCCGCCAAGTGCCTTGTTCGAAGAAGAGTTCGGTTCCTGTAACGTCGCAATTGTTCTATTTATCGCATTATATTTTTTGTATATTTATGTGTTAATAAATTTATGTTTGTATTAATAAATTTATGTCGGTCATTTTTTATTAATGTTTAAATAATCAGCCAAAGTTAATTTAAATAGCAGACATACAATTACATTCAATTCTGAACTGTGATTAGCCACTTTGTTTATTCAGATTTAATTGTATTCAGATGCGTGATGAATTTCGTGAGCGGTGCGAATTTTTTTATTTATGTCGGTCATTTTGCCAAGGCACTACTCCTTCATTACAAAAATAATCACGAAATTCATCACGCATCTGGATACAATTTCGCGCATTGGTATTCAAACCACAACGACCGATGTTTCGAAAAGCACAGCCATCTTCAATGATTCTTCGCCTGCAAGAACCTGGTGTGAAGCTATTTGGATCATCGGGATGAATTTGATCCACCATATCCGCAGGAACATTTTTATCAATGTCGTCTTTGCGGATCCAATTATGCAGACAAACCGTCGCCTGCACCATCAATTTAGCATTTTGTGGAAATGCAATAATTGGTTTGCGATATATTCGCCACTGGCTGGCTAGAATGCCGAAAGTACTTTCGATCATCCTTCTCGCACGGGTTAACCGATAATTGAATATGTCCTGTTCCTGTGACAGCCCATTCTTGCCTGGATAAGGGCGAAGCATATATGGTTTTAAAGGAAACGCTTCGTCTCCTACAAGACAGTATGGCAGAATTCGTCCTCCTGCAACAGCTGATGGCTTCG